TTTCAACTCATTTTCAGTATAGAAATTTCCCAACTCATTAGGATTTGTTTATGTTCAATACAGTTTTCACTTAAAAGTTGTTTTGAGGTAGGCAGAGGGAACTTATGAAGGTCTTACTAAATTTTTCATTTAAAAAATTAAACTAAATGACATTCCCACCAGTAGTGATAACATGAAGCCATCAAAAGAAATTCCAAGAATCAAAAATTGTCTTCATATGATGAACTTTAAAAGCTTGCTTTTTAGTATGGGAAAAGAGAAAATCATTCATAACGTTGCTGTCCCCTTTGTCAGTTGTGACTGGTGGCTGACATTGCCCTGCTGTGATGCTGGGTTCTTGGAGCATGGAGTGGGATTAGAGTGGGACTGGAGGTTCTCCTCCCAAGTGGTGCCCACGGGAGCTGGCCTGCTGTCACCCATCTCTGATTCACACATTCAGTTCCTCCTCCTCCTTCTTCCCTCAGCCTGCTCCATATTTACATTGCCCTTGACTTTCTCACAACCAGGGCAACCACTGCGTCCTCTGTACACCCTTGGAAATATAAGTGACACAAGATGCCACAGGCTGGACAAGGGGAAAGTTGCATTCTATGCTTGTGTTACTTTGGGAAGTATATTATAATAAAACAGGATTTTCTTTCGAGTATAAAAATGTGTAAGCTCTTCTTAAAAGTAGTGGCTCAGAGTGCAAGATAGAGAAAAAGACTCTTGCAGAGTGAACTAAGAAAGTAGTACAAATGAAACAAATTGGCAAATATATGAAAATATTTCTAAAAGAACAGAATAGGAAATTTGGGGAATTATTTGAACATCTACCTACTTAATCTCTATTTTCTATTTTGCTCCATATATATATATATATATATATAAATATATATAAAAAAAAAAATATATATATATATATAATTTCCTCCTGTAAGAGAAACAACCACATGATATTTAAGCTTGTGTGTCTGATTTATTTCACTTAACATTATGTTCTCAAGTTGCAGTTATTTACTTATGAATGCCTCAATTTTATCTTCATTTATGTCAAAGTAGTACTTGATACACAAAGTATTAACTATTGTAATTTTCTTATTATTTTCTTATAAAATTTTCCTTTACTTTTTCATGAAGTAGAAAGAATGCAATTCTGCATTGTAAAAAGTATGTACATTCTTTTGAGAAGAGTATAAAACTGATAACCCCTGGTACAGAAGACCAATGATTCAAAATATGTAAAGAAATTAGACATAAAGCTTTTCAAAGGTTGTGTAACAAGCATATGGAATAAATTGAGCAAAATGACCATCAAAGAAAATAAATAAATGGGCTTAGGAAGCAGAGGTTTGTACACCAGGAAGGGATGAAAGTGTGCCCCAGCGAGCCAGCATGTGGAATTATGATAAAAGCGGACAGCCTCTTCAAGCCACATGGTTCTTTCGGTTCATCCATCTAAAATATAAATCTGTATTTTAATTAAAATATGCCTCCCAAAGCCAGTGCATATGACTTAACATGCTTAGAATTAAGCTGAGCTTGGTCTGGGGCATAATTGACATAAGCAGTTCACATCCTTGTCTCATTAATGAGAAACATACGTGCAGTGTTGGAAGGAAAATCGGCAGCACTTTCTATTCTGCCGATTTGGACCAGCTTTATTGTTTCAGGGAAACTTTGTGCCACCTTAGCCAACAAGTGTGGAGGTTAGCTGACCAGGGTCTAACTGTGCATATACCTGAGAGCAGTGGTTGAATAGACTTAACAATCCCACTTACTATGATTTCTTCTGGAAATCTGATTTAGGCCAGAACCACACAGATTCCCTTTTGTGGGTAGAAGCGGTCTTTCCTTGGATCTATCTGCAGAAGGGTATTTTTCTTTAACTCTTTCATGTCTCTTTGGATCTGTTTCTTCCCCTCTTTTCCACTTGTCCATAGCTGTTGTGGTTTATATCTAGGTGTCGCCTCAGAGGCTCACGTGCTCATAAGTGAGGACCTGGGAGGTGTGACACTCATCAGTGGATTCAGACAGTAATGGATTTATAGCTGGGTGTGGTGATGGCAGGGAAAGCGTGGTAGGAGGAGGTAGGTCACTGTGGGTGTGGCCTGGAAGGGTGTGTCTTCCTCTATTTCTCTCAAACCGCTCTGCTTCCTGCTTGCTCTGCCATGGACTGTTTCTCCTCTGCCAGGTCCCTCTGCTGTGCTGCCCTGCCTTCGAGCCAGCCAGCTATGGACTGAAGCCTCTACAAACTGTGAACCAAAACAGACCTCTTCTCCCTTAAATTGCAGGGTTGCATATTGCATCTGTGATAAAGTAAGTAACTAAAACACCGGCCAATGTACTAATACTGTTGAAAAGTCACTTTTCTTTTTACTTCTCATTAACTGGCTCCAAACTTAACATTTCTAGGACAGTAAGATTTAAGAGACACTAGTGTTTCATAATACACTGATACATTTATCTTAATACAGAGCAGTTTCTGCCTTTGACTCTATTGTACAAATACATGAGATAAGAGTAGCCTCATTTAGTAACCTTGGACTTGTTTGCTTCAGAGGCTGTGCCAAGAATACTGTACACTTCAATTCCATCTTCACACAAACTCTGGAATATTATTTTTAATATTGATATTATGGGTTAAATGATGCTCTTCCTTAACCAACTTGTTTTATGAAATCATAGCCCACAATCCCTAATAATGTAACTTATTTGGAAAGAGTGTATTTGAAGGCATCCTCATGAAATTTCTGAGAACACACTGAAGTAAGGTAGAGCCCTCATTGTGATAGAGAGGGAGATTTGGGCACGAAAGCACAAAAACAGAAGGTCCTGGGAAGACAAAGGCAGAGACGAGGGAGATTCACCCACACCCAAGCAACAGGAAAGGTTCCAAGAAATCAGAAGCAGCAAGGGAGAGAGACGCCTGACAAAGACTGTCCTGTGTCACACTCAGAAGGGACTGACGCCGCCCACAACTGACCTTCCAAACCTGTAAGACAATACTTTCTGTTTTTAAAAGCCAGAAAATTTATGGCAAGTTGTAATCGCAGTTGCAGGAAAACAGAACACCCTTTTACATTTTAGGAGAAAGAAGCTCTAGAAGGTCATGGTGTCCTAGTCCAGGTAGGGAACCTGGACCTACAGTCTACCCGGCCTCTCCTAACTCTACACATAGGAAAAGTAAAAGAGTCAGACTAGACAGCTTATAAATTTTGTTTTCATTTCTGGGAAATCTTTTTTTAAATGATCAAAATACGTTTTTGACATTTTTTAATCCACCAGCAAACAGCAGAGTAAATAAAAGAGGCCACAATTAATTAAAGCCTCTAGAAGCTGAGAAATAAGATTGAATCATTTAGGTACATTAAAAGTTTCCACCTTGAAATGTTGTGTTATGAATTACACACCAAGTAAAGAGAGGAAATTTCAGGGACATCTCAGGCTGCATGTCAGCCAGACGGAAAACACCATGCACAAAGATGAAGGAATTCAATGTTTGTAATAGACGACTGCATTGGAATTCATTAAGAGAAAAACGTTAATACAGAAAGAGTTTTCCTAAATGGGCAACTCTCAAAAATTACCAAACAGATTAATTTTAAATGTGAGAGTGATCAAAAGGTGTGTCTGACAAAACAAGTTTTATAATTTAAATTAGTTTCCAAGTGATACAAAACTTAAAAAACGATACATATGAATAAGGTACCATGTAATGTTTAGTACACGTCTACATTGTGTTGTGCTTAAATCACATAAAACAGATCTATCCGAAGGGGAGCAATTCATTATTACACTGCGATATTCACTTTAGGGAGAACCCTTCTAACTTTGATAAATGTGTTTAGATACAGGCAATGCTATATTGTGATTCTTGGAGGTACAATAAATAGTTCATGCTTTAGACAACTGAAAAGCGGGGGGACTTGATGGGAGAGGACCAGAGAGGGCATGTCCTTAGGAGAGCGGCCTGCTAGGACGAGAAGCTGATGGGAGCCAGATCAATAGCCAGAGAGGAGGGGCGGGTGAGCTCGGAGGGTCACTTTAATTTTGTTTATTCTCCTGTTCCCCAAATATGTTTAACCACATTATCCTCTAATTCTTGTTTCAGAGATTGAGCAGCATGTGTTCCAGGCCACTTAAGGGTGGGAAGCACTGGCTGAAGTTTGTAACTTTAATTACGATGTCATTACCTCTCCTACTCTGGTTCCTCCTTAAAAGCCATTTATACTGCTCATCTCCTAGGTCTGTGTTCTGGGGTTAAAATCTAGAAGGGCTGGGGCTACAGCTCAGTGGCACAGGGCCTGCCTGGCAAGCACGAGGGTCCTGAGTTTGATTCCTAGCACCAAAAAAAAGAAAAAAAAAAGTCTAGGGAGTCTCCCAGAATTACTCTCAAACTGTGTCCCCCATCTTCTGAGCCTCCTGAAACAGATCTGTTCTATTGCTCTAGCCTTTTATGCATTAATTTTATCAATCTTGTTAAGGTTATCATCAGAGTTTTTTTCTTTTTATTAGTCCTCAAATTCCACTTTGGTCATTACCTCTCTTTCATGCTTTCAGCATTCTAATGCCTGTTTAAAGCACTTTTTTTTTTGTTTTTTTTTGGTTTTTCTCCAGTACCGGCAATTGAACTCACGACCTTGTGCTTGCGAGGCAGGTGCTTTGCCGCTGAGCTAAATCCCCAGCTTAAAGCACTTTTAAGAAAGCTTCTTTATATATATATATATATATTTTAAAGCCCATGTCCAGGGTCTGAGCTACAAAAGACACTCTCTCCATGTTAAAAATGAATATTCACAATATTTACATCACCACACAATTATGTATAACAGAAAAGCTCTAACTTTGCATTTGGAGAGGTGGGAAGTCAATTTCTCCAAAATAAGCTTATTTTATGAATGTGAACTTCTGTGTGGTACATTTTTCTGTTTACTATCAACCAGAAGTGAATAAGAATTATATAGCATTGAAGAAAATAACTTGTGCTTCAACATATTTAAGTGATTTCACTAACAATATTGAGGCCTTAAATTTGGTATTTATTAAAACTTTCATTTTTTACAGTGTATAATATTTATACATAGGTACACAGCAAGCATAAGCATTGCACATATTACTCAGCAAAATCTGAGTGTGGCAAAAATAACAATAGTAACATTCATGCAGTCAGGTTCAGATTCCATCTTCTAAAAGTAAGTGTTGAGATATCCTTACATTTGGACTGATTGATTGATTTGCCATGGATCAAATCAGGGCATGTGAATGCGAGGCAAACACTAGTAGTGGAGAAAGGTCCTTAGCCCTCTTCTTTAATTACTGAAAATAAATTGTGAAAGTTGTCATTTCTTCTATAGTATAATAAATATATTAATAAAAAAGGAAATTATTCTTGTCCTTTCTAAGGGGAATTTAAATTGATCCTATGTAAGCAGTCCTCAGTTGCAAAGTTGATTGCTCTTTCACAATTATTATCTCTGATTTATTGTATTTTCTTACAAGGGTTTATTATTTATTATAATAAACCCTAGAGCTGAAATAATAGATTAAACTTAATACTATTCATAATTGTAATTAAAATCCATCTCAGCAAAACCTTTCTCTGCATTTAAAGATTGCGTATTTAAAATGAGGATTAAGAATTTGGATTTTAAATTATTATCGGGAAAGAAAAAAGTGATAGAGCTGCATATTTTTTTCCATCTGTAGAATGATCATTTGTACTGCCTGTCCTGTACACGTGACTCTGCTACTGATTTAAATGACAAAATTCTGAATTGAGCTCAAATGCTTAAGACAGCACCATGGAAAAGAAAGCCTACATGAGTGTGTTCCCATAATATTCCATGGTGGTTGGCTGATTTGCTTAGCGCATTGTCTTAATAAAGGTAGCGTTTCCTGTTTAATCCATAGGTATTTCAGTTATGATTGATCTTCAGCTACACAGAGCTTCTCTGTTCCTATCAGCTGGTAGTTCCTGGTGAATAACATTTCTGAAGAGTTATATAAAAACATGATACAAATCCATACACTATTTTAGAAAAAATTATTTGAAAGAATTACACATTAAAACTAGGAATAGGAAATAAATTTTAGAAATCATGCAATGACCCTAAAACTTGTTACCATAAATTGCATAAATGGGGAATGTACATTATTTTAATTTCTGTGCCGACAAAAGTTTTAAAATATTTTTTTACATCATTTGATTTGTAACACAATGAAATAATGAAAGTAAATATATGTTCATCAATATTACATATATAGATTAATTGAATGATTCATACATGCATATTCTAAGAATAATATTAGATAACTGGTATTTGAGTACTGAACATATATATCCACAGAACCTTTTACAAACAGACTATATTACTGCAACTTCCTCAACTTACCACAGCTGAATATTACTTTTGACAATAAAAATGCTAGAATGGCATGACATTGATTTTAAAAGAAGTGCTCATCATATGCCCAATTGAATACTTTATTGTTTTAATATTAAGACATTTTAGCATGTAAAATGTAAATTTATTTTATTCTGTTTTCTTTATTTTTCTTTGATTTCCAAAATAACAGTAAGTATTATGGAAACTAAATAAGAGAATCCCTTGTATACAAGAATTACGTCCTTCCTTCAAAGTCTATTATATCCTATTACAGAATATTTTTATTGGTATAAAATCAATTTTCCAAAAGAATCCAGATGTGGTTTTACATTCCTTTAGTCCCTGATATCTAGGTGCACATATATGAGACCAACTCATACAACACAATGAGATCTTGTCTCACAATAAAAGGTATTTAGTTGTGTGTGTTCTTGGTTTTTAATTCATAGAAATTTCATAAACTTTTCATTCTTTTCATACTTTTACCCAAAAGTCTGTATCTTCCTCAATTTTATGAAGAAGAACAGACGTGTGATTGAATGAATGTGTGTGGGAGAGAGATGAAGACATGGGAGATGCATGTGCATAATTACAGTTATCTACTGGGAAGAAGATTGTGAAAATCAGTGTGATGTTGTTCATGCTGCTTCTATAGAAATGATGCTCAGGGATATTAAGACTATAAATAGCACCATAAAATTATAGTCCAAGTAGCTTATCATTATTTCTAATGAAACCAAGTTTCTCCTCTAGCCTAACATTTTTTTTATTTCAACACATTTGTTAAATACATCATCAATGATATACCTAGTACTATGATGAAAAAACAGAAAATTGTCAAATCTTTAAAAGAAGTTTCAATAAAGTTGACCATATATGGTATATAGCATATATAATATATATTGCCATAACTGACATTAAGTAGTCATGCTACCCATTTATTCAGATGTTCTTTACTCTGACAGTATTTTAATACTATAATGTACAAATATTTATTCACTTGGATACTCAAGGTCAGAGAAAGGTGAGTAGGTTCCATAGTCTTGTCTATCTCTATCTCTCTGTATCTTTGTATTTCTCTCTTTTTCAAGTTTTCTTTTGAGATAAACTGGAATGCAATCTACACAGGATCTGCTGTTGAAATTAAATATCAACAGTCATTTAAATAACTTGAAAGAAAGTAGCCACACGATGTCACAACTTTATAATTTAGGACAAAGACAAGGATATTGAATTCTTCATTAATGAAAACCAATGCAAACTAGTCACAAACTATAAGGAAGCATGACTACATTTGCACACAATGAGCAAAGCCAAGTGGCATCCCGTGCACTTTACTCTTGGGGACACTAATCTGATGGCTTAGCTGTGTTGTGCACATGTTTCTTGCTGAGAGGACAGTGGCAGTGCAAGCTCTTTTAAGGGAGCTCACGGTGTAGTGCTTGCCCAAATCTCCACAATCAAACTTTTGCTTCGTAAAATTAGATTTGTGCATCTCCAACTGCTCTTGTAATTCTGATTTAAAATAACTATGATGTTTTAAAAATGTGTTTCCCTGTGTTGCTAACATAATTGGTTAGAGTGTATGAAAGTATTAATGACGATAGATTACTTTGAGAAGATGTAGTGAGAATATATTTGATCTATACACTGAGAGTATACTTCATGTGTGATTTTGTTCAATCTGTTGTGGAAGGTGTAGAAGCCTCACTGTGCAGGGACTCCAGGACCAACCCAAGACTGACCTCCAAGACATTGGTTCTCGTGGTCTCTTGTGCAAAGTCATATTCTGCTAGTGCATACTTGCCATACTACAAATGTGGGCCCAACAGCCCTACCAGCCTGTGGAGCAAGAAGAAACTTGTAAGGTTATTTAGTCTCCTGTCTTATGCTCTTCTTTCCCAATTACCCTGTCTAATAATTTGGGGGGGGGGTCTCTTTGGGCAGAGATTTTCATACACAAAGGTCCATTTATCAACACTGTTTCTATAACCTGGAATTTTTTTGCGGTCATGAGAATATGACACATCGTTTCTCAGTAGCTTCAGGAAAAGGAGCCCTAGTTTGCATGGACGTCTCATCAAGTTTGTGCGGAAGCCTCTCAGAAAGCTATGTGGGATGTGCATGAATGCCATAGATCTTGAATACTGAATTGTGACGTTAAATGTGACTTTACTCAACTCATCAAAAACATCTTTCTTTTCCTCAATTACATAATGCATCTACTCTATCCATAGATTTCTCTCTCCCTTGGGAAAAGCCACTTGCCAGGGAGGTGGCTTGTATCTCTTTCCCAATAGATTTTGGAGTGATTTGGGATGTGCAGTGCCTGCCCATTCATCCTTCTTAGGGCTCAGAAAACCATCCAACATAGAGAAGGAGTGAAGTGATGGCCCTGTGGGTAGCCTTAGCAGCCCATCACCATCTGTACTGTAGAATCTCTGAGTGATGCATTCTGTCTCAGGTGTATCTCTGTTGACCTGGGACATAAGTGACTCAGCCTCCTTGGAGTCATCTGGCATTCACAGTGATTTACCCTCTCCCTAATGTGGGATTCCTGTTCCCTTTAACTCAAGAACTGTTTGACAGACAACATGGACCCCAGTTGCTGTCCTTCCCCTAACTTCCCCTTACCTGGAAGAGACCCAGTCCAAGGCTCCCACTAGGAAAAGCAAGACAACACCATCTGGGCCAGTGTGCACAAACTTCATGTGTTTGAGGAATAATCAAGCAAAGTCTGCCAAGAGCCTTAGAGGCACCGTGAGTGCAGGCTTCTGGGCAGACTCTCCACCATCACACAGTCTTGTTTCATGAGAACATGAGCACACCATTCTAAGTAGGGAAAAGATGCATTGGTCTCAAACCTTTGCTTAGGAGAGGGCTAGAAAATAGGTGCTCTAGCTGCTGGTTTGTGGAGACTTGAGCTTGGAAAATGTACCAACCCTTCTGGGGAGAGAGATCTATGGCTCAGCATTATAGCAACTATCAAGAGATGCCAGCGGAGCCAAGTTCAGGACAATCCCACATTTCTCTGCACTATCCTATGAGCAGGAGGCAGTGTTTCAAAGTATGTAATAAAAATGTCATTGCTCCCCTCCAAAATTGCCAACCAATTTTTTCCTCAGATTGTAACTTTTAACCTAGGTTTCCATCATTCGGTTTGGAACATCCCCATTTCTTCCAGTCATGCTTTGATTTGACAGCTAATATCCTGTACTGCTATTTTCTTAGGAAATTTCCTCATCAATTTCTCTTTTGCATCTCTTATTTTTTTCTCTTCATCATGTTTGTCTCATCACACCATGCACAGGACCCAATATCATTAACACAGAAAATATCCCTTCAGTTTGCAGTCTTTTCCCATCCAACTCTGCTCAACTTTCTTCAACAAAACATCCTGAAGTTGCTGTCTGCCGTCTCTCTGGGTAGCTCTACCGCAAAAAAAGACTTGCCCTGTTCCTCTCCCTAGACAAGCATTTACTGAGTTCTCCAAAGATGTCCGTATTTCCACTTTCATCTGCTCTGAGCTCCTTTTCAGGAGTGTTTCAGTATCATTCATCAAAAAATAGCCAAACTTCCTTTCCCCTCCTTACCGCCAGAGCTACCCAACTGCTGACCTTTCACTGTACCTGCAGGCAGCGATTTCCCATTCCCGTGCTGACTCCTCTATGACATCATCACTTCTAAATGGCATTCTTGAACACTCCGCTCCAAGTTCTCTTCTCTTTTCTAAATACTTTCTCTTTGTGAGTGCTTCTGTTCCAGCTAATTGTATTTACCCCAATCTTCTCCTGGACTGGATTCTAGTTCCCATCTTCCAGTGGGTGTGTGTATTAGTTAACGCTTACTAGAGTCAGATGTAGGAGAGTGCAAAACTCCTGACAGCATGCCAGAGACTAAAAGGATCCAGTTGAAAGTTTGGAGTCGATGGTAATTTCCAGTGCAAATCCCTATCAGGAGGCAGACATATCCTTAATGGGTGACCCAAAGTATCTGCACCACAAAGGCCCAGAAGCCAGTGCTAGAAGCTGGCATGTCTGTGCCGGATGGCAGGATCCGTAGCAGAATGCTGAGGGATCTGCACTGGAAGCCAGGAAGCCACATCCAAGATGAAGATGAGGATTGAAGTTCCCCAGAAGAAAGAAAATAGCCAAAGCTCTTTTGAAGAGTAACTAGTGAAACTCTAAAGAAAAGCAGTCACAAGGAAGCTCCTCCAAGGGAGATTAGCTGAAACCTTTCCTTTCTGTTTTCCCTTTGTACCATTCTGACAATGACAACCATCTTCCTTAAAGTGGGTCTTCCACCCTCAGAACCACGCTGACTCAGTTCAGCTGGGCATTCCCCACTCAAGTGGACCATTAATCAATTAACCACCAGATTGTGTAACTACAATTTGTAAACTTTGGAACCACACATCCAACTCTCTATGCATCAATGTAAGTATGTAATAGGCTTTTCATTTCCAATACAGCCAAAACAATACTGTTTTCCATTCAGATTTCCACATTTTTATAAGTGGAACCAACAGCTGCTCAAGTAAAGAATGAAAACTTATTTTTTTTCTCCCAGTGTCTGTTCTCTTGTTTCTTCCCTGTCACTTTCCATTCACAGGTAAGAATTGTTGAAATAAAACCAAACATCTTCATTGTCTTACTGACCTAGTTCCACCACTGACCTTTGGGCCTTTCCATTCCATATCCCATTGACATCATTTCCTGTTTGGTACATACTCCCTCCTCTGAGGACTTTCCCTATGTGGTGGATTGACAGCTGGTGGTGAACTGGTAACATCCAGCTGAATGGAACCAGCATGATGCTGGGTGTGGGAGCCCACCTGAGGATTTTTGTCAACAAAATAAAAAAGAGAACTGTAACAAAAGGAGAGAAGTTGTTGGGAGTTTGTAGCTCTGCTGGTGCTGTTGGTTCTCCTGGAAAAGCTTATTATGTTGGTTTTCCTGATAGGAACTTGATTATTCTGCTTGTCGAAGGAGCTCAGGATCTTATTGTGGCTGAGAATGGCTATGATTCCCTTTGGGGGAGCTCTGGTCCTTACATTGATCATTGCTTCCTGACTGCAAAGGGGAAGATGGTGCACTGATCAGTCTCCAAGAGAAGCTTGTCATACTGGCCTTCCTGATATAGACTTAGCTGTTCTCATAGTCAGAAGATCTCAGGACCTCGCTGTTGCTGAGGATGGCTGTGTTATTTTTTGGAAGAGCTCTAGTCTTTGAGTGTTGTCTCCTGGCTCCAGTGCAGATCCCTCAGCCTGCTAGCACACATCCTTCATCTGCTGGTACAGACTTTCTAGCTTCCACCAATGACCTTTGGGCCTTTCCAGTGCAGATCGGTGAAACAGACCTGCATGAGACATTGCTATGGGCTCTCGGCCTCCAGTTGGACTTTTGGAGCCCATTATCACGGGCCTTGGGTCTCCAGCTGGGCTCATGCAGGACATTGCCTTAGGGTAAAAGCCCTCAGTTGGATTCTTTGGGTCTTTAGTGTGTGGACAGATTTCCTCTACTCTTTTTGTATGACTCTTTGGATGACTATTATAAAATAATCCTGTAAATAATGTGTCCTATATTGCATTGCTTTTCTTGCAAACCCTGACTACAGCTCATACCTTACCGGGATTATTAAAGAACCTTCTCATGTGAACTTCCACACTAGCTCTGGCTCCTCCATATCCTTGAAAACTAGTAGTAAAATGACCATGGAAAACTACTTAAAATATCCTTTGCCATTCTTCTACTTAAAACATTTAAATAGCTTCCCAGCAGGCTCAAAGGAAATTAAAGTTTTTGCTTGCTTTCTACCGTAAGTACCACATGCTCTAACTCTGTCTCCAAACCTTCTGTTCTGTCTTCTGCATATTCCAAAAGAATGCACCATCAAGCCAAATTATCCCACCTAGATCTCCTAAACTGAGTGTCAAGGTCCCTGGGTTCAGAACAACCTGACACATTTTCTTTGGGGAATATAAAGTTATAGACATTGACACCAGCTGGCTGTCATGTGTGTTCTCCCCAAGGAGACTAGCACAAGTTCAGTTTAGCCCATCAAACACCTTTCACACTGCTTGCAGTGTCTGGATTCTGTAAGACATCTGCAGAGTTAGGAGGAGCTCATCCAGAATCCACTCCTATCCTCACTCATTGAAGCACCCAAGTCCCCCAGGACCCCCTAGTTGGAAACCTCCCTAGAAAGAGGCTTTCAGTCTTTTCTGTCTCCCTCTAATCAGAAACTCAGTGAAACTCTACAGAAAAAGAGAGGAAACTAAAACCCTGAAACAACCCTTTGTGGGACACCAGCTACTCCTTCCACGGAGATGCAGATTTGTGTTATTTTAAAGGAACTAAATATTAATAGCTGTGTGTCCTATTTAAGTGTCTAACAGTATCCCACATCACTCTACCTGCTTTCCATGCAGTTCTTTAGATCAGCAGTATGTAGCCTGAATCACCATGTTCCGTCAATACTAGCTATTAATATAAAAATTATATTATTCACAACACTATGAAGGAAACACATTCCAGATGTTTCCAAAAGGAAATGAAGGCTGAAAGAGTATATTAATTTATTTTTATTTATGGGTTTGGTAATTAGAAGATCTGGCCCTTAAACGGAGGTGTGCAGACTCCAGAGCATTAGCTGTGGTCCCATCAGAGTGGTCTTGTTTGAAAACTCTCCACTTCCTTTCCCCATGCAACTTTTTTCTCTATTATGCTTACCATCTTTTGTCTTCCTGTATCTGAGGGATTACCTTCTGTGAGCCCCCAGTTCCTCAAATTTAGCAAGCCCCACTTAGAAGATTTGGTTCTTCTCCCTTAGTCCAGGGTGTGAAGTGCAGTGTGGCCAGTAAGTGTTTGATAAAGGAGCACACGGAAATGCTGGTGTGTGCTGTGTGTTGTGCTGAAAACCAAAGGAATCAAGTCACGTTCACCACCACACAGTTCTTTCCCTGCAAACAGATGCAAGTAGGTGCTCTTCAAAAGATTTGAATTGATTCTCTGAAAATGCTCAGGCAGACATATGCAGCCCTCATGACATGTCAGCAATTGTTCTGTGCAGTCATATGTTATATTAACACATTAAATTTCCCGAATAACTCTCTAGGGATCTGGATTATTGTTATACTCATTTTACATCTGTAGAATCTGGGACAGAGTTGTGATAAACGATTTGTCCAATACCATACCCAACAAATAGAAGGAACAAGAGCCAAACCCAGGCGGCCCAACTCTCCGTTCACTGTCTTCCAGCTGGAGCTGCTTGTTTCGTGGAGCTTGAAGTGCTCTGTGAAGACAACAAAGTAATATTCTCAGGAATCAGGAAACGAGCCAGTTAGAAAGCATGGCGGGTGACATCACAAGGGATTTCTGAACAGTTAAGAATACAGAGGGAGGGGCTTGTATCTCTCTACAGTTTGTGGTAAGCAAGATGTGTCCACCATCTGGCAAGAATTAAAAGGCTCTGTGAGGGTCATGCAGATTACATTCATCTAGTCTGCTCTGTGCTCACTATTTTCAAGGAAGCAAACAAGAACTGATGTAAAATTGGAAACATACAGCCGCATATGGCGGGTTACTTTCTCACACTGGTATCAAGAGAGACAGACTCTATTTAAAACACATTGAAGGTAGGCATTTTTGCTGGGGATGCAAATATATGTATAATGTATAATGCCCAGCGGAGAAGGAATGCAGCTCATCCGTTCCGCCCTCCCGGGAGCCTCTGCCTCTGAAGACAGCTACCACAGACCTACGTCTTGGCTACAGATGCTCTTAAATATGATATGAATGCATCAGACAGGATTTTATTAAACTATTTCTTTGGATACAAGTGCTGTCAAAGTGGGTTTTTAAGTTCACAATAAAATATATACGTGGATTAATAAGTACATCAAAACATCTCTTTTTCTTCAAAACTACACACAGAGATTCAGAACAGAAGAAGAAAATGTTCTATATTAAACAATCTTCAAAGAAATTCAATATACTCATAGCTTTAGCAATTATAGATAGAAGCTCTGGAATCCACCCACACTATAGATGCTACACAAAGTAACAGAGTATAACATAAGAATATATCATTAAATGAAAGTATAAAATGATAACATGCCCTGAGCTGAAATAATAGTGTATTGTGCCAATATGATTATGTAAAGATTAAGTAGATTAAATTGTTTGTCTATATATGCATGTATAGGTTCAATCACACACAGCATTCATTTAGACAATATGTGCTTCCACTACTATTCACATTTAAATTTACAAAAATTGATAAATCATATGTATAATTATAATTATATCTGAATCATTTATAAGATCAAGTATATTCATTTCATATTTATATAATTCATAGACTGTGTACATAATCAAATAATTTGATACACTGTTAAAATATGCAGAGGGAGATATATAGATATATAACCAAATTTCACACAGAAATCATACCCTGTCACTGCAGCTATTCCATTTCCATAGTATTAAATGCTATTGGAGGTAAAAATTCATTTCAAATATGCAAATCACAACTTGACCCTGATCTGGCCATCAGGGTAAGCTTTCTGTCCCTAGCCAGTCATGATTACTTCTATCCAAGATCCATGGGTGATGCTTTACTGGAAACTAAATCTTGCTACAGAAATTCACTTTGAAAAA